ATTCTACAGGAATTCCAAGGAATTACGAGGAATTCCAAGGAATTCCATAGGAATTACTAGGAATTCCAATTATTTCCGTAAGAATTCCAATGAATTCCAAGGAATTCCTTAGAAATTTAGAGGAATTCCACAGGAATTAAGAGGAATTACAAGCAACTTTATAAAAATTAACGAACATTAGTAAACCATGAATACTATAATAGGTAGTACTAAATTTAAAGAAAAACGTTTTGCAGGCGATTTTTACTATCCGTTTTTTCGTTTCGCTTCCAAAATTTCCTAATATCAAATATCTACAGGTTAGATATTCTTTTAATTTAATATTGTACCCTCGATTATATATCTAAAATATTTTCCAATAGTACGGCCGAACCACCCCCGAGAGATCTAGTTATAACGTTCCCTGATTTCGCCATTTTAAAGAAATCCTCATAAGATTTTTTTATTCAGTACTCCAGAAAGTGTAAAGTTGATTTTTTCATTTCCTCGGAATAATACCTAGGTATATACTATAGGAAAATTAATACAACTTTAGGTGCACTTCATCAATGATACCATGCGTAATCTTATGGAATTTACTGGTGATCGTATTATGACGTGCAACTGAAGTTTTATTAATTTCCTTTCCTATAGATACGAGTATAACTAGGTACCTCTCATTTTCAAAAAATCCCGAGAAAAATTAATTTTAATAAGTAAGTGCCGACATATTTCCAGTATTTTTACCTCATGATCCCCTATTGGTACTAAAATTTAACTAAAAAAACGTAAATCTCGTAATAGTACTTTTTATTGTTAGATCTAGTACTTATAGAGACATTAGACATTTATAAAAATCACCAGAAAATTCATAGCGGAACTGCGAAACCGAGGTGGCAACGCTGGTTAGACTGAAAGAGTTACCGAGTTCGTACCAAGGAATTCCAAGGAAGACCTTGAATGATTGACCTTGACCTTGAAGACCAGGAATTCCAAGGAATTCCGAAGGAATTACGAGGAATTCTGAGGAATTATTTGAGTAAAAGGAATTACGGTGTACACTTTTCCCTCTGCGGTTTACCCCTCGGATAAACCTAAAGAAATATAAAATTAAAAAAATATATATTTCACAAAACAAAAAACTAAACCACCATTACAACTCTGAACGTAAAAGTGGAAAATAATATTTATGTAAGAAAACATATTCTCAACCAACTCAGTAATATGTTCTATAAAAGGAGTTCTTTGGCTTCATCATCCAGCTCTAAACATTCACTTTTCTTCTACATATGCCGAAATGCAGCCAAATAAGGGTCAGAGGATATCAGGAGACAGTTAAAACATCTTGATTTGTGGCATAACGTGAACATTTTCGACTATTGTCTTTTCTGAAAAAACGCAACTTAAAATTGTGTTGCGGTCTATTGAGAAACACCGACTTCTTCAAATAAATATATCGCATGAATAGGCAGAATTCGGCAGACCATTTTTTGTTTATAAACAAATACATTCCTCAAACAACATTATTTGCGATAAGAGGAAACGTCGATAAGCGTCGATAGTATTTTTTTGGTATTTTGAAAACTATGAAAATATGGATAAAAACGACGTTTAAAAAAACATGAAAAATTAATACATAATAATAATTTCAGAACTTTCTTAGTAATAGTCCAAAAGTAGAGAAAACCTTTTCTTTAAAATATAAAAAATAATAATCATCTCGGGGTTTTAAAGCCTCCAGAAATATTTAGATTCTTATTTGCTATCACTCAGCGAAATAAAGAGACAATTAAATGTGACGTGTTTAAGAGAAAAAAAACATGGTTACAAATTTTATTCAAAAAATTTATTGTTGTTTTTTTTAAACCAATGCTACTACTATTCAAAAAGATTAACAGTGTGTCATATAGTTTAATTTTTCTAACATCACTTATGGCCGCTCTTTAACATATGCAAGAACCACTGTGCGGCGCCGAATATGTCCATGGTTGGCAACAATTAATTTAAAAATCGCGCCCTCGATGACGTAACTAAAAGTTTATTTGATATGAACCGTAGCTTCAAGTTCTATTCTTATCATTAATAAATTTTTCATAATTAAATATTTTACGATACGCAATTATTCATATGTAAATATTTCTATAAAATACTCGTGTGGTGTGTCACAGTGTTAGTTACCATACCCCTCCGAAACGATTTAACCGATTTTGATGAAATTTTATATGTATATTCAGTAGGTCTGAGAATAGGTTGTTATCTATTTTTTTATACCCCTAAGTGATAAGGGTGTTCCACCCCAAATTTTTTTAAATTTTTTGGACCTTTTTTATGATATGGCATTAAAAAATTACATACATTGCTTAAAAAAAATTAAAAAATGACGGCTACATTTTACACATACAACCCTAAATTTTCACCCTTCTACCACCAACCCGTACTTTTTAATAGCGATATTAGTAATTCAATAGTTTTCAACCCCATGAATAAGAATGACGTTTTTTTAAGGTATTTTTCGTAAAAAAAATTTGGAAATTTTTTTAGTTTTAAGTTAAAAAAAACATAATTTCTTGATAATATGTCAACATAGGCAGTAAATTAAATTTACAAGAAAGTTTTCATTAAAACAAAAATGTGATAAATAAAAACACTATAATTTATAACAATTAAACTTCTAGTCACGTGATTAAGCTTGACCGGCACAGCGTTGCCCACTTTAACATATTTTCCTTTAATTTATTAATAATGCCTTAAGGGGCATAAAGGGCCATTACTACCGCTTTCCCGTTCAAAATATTCTAATAAAGTTACGATGAGTTTTTTGCATTGGCTATTAAGCTCTATCTTAAACACTCTCTAAAAAGGATAATGTTCGACTGCAAGGTCTGCTAGTAAAGAATTTTAAGCTTAAAGCAACACAAGTCATTTAAATCAAAAACTCGTAATACAAATCTAAAACGTCTAAACGAATGACAATGTCAGGAATATATAAATAAATGTAGCACCTTAACTTTTTCTACAGCAGAGCTACCACCTGAATCCCCAGCGGAAAATTTAAATTCCGGTTAGTCAGCCCGGCGCCCAATATGATCATGGTTGGCAACAGTGAATTAAAAATCGCGCCCTTGATTACGTAACTAAAAGTTTAATTGGTATCTTATAGTATATAAAATACCCAAGTTTATAAATACTAATTGTAAAATAAAAAAAAACGGTCTTTCATTTGTAATAAAGTTCAAAATACCAAGTTGTCTAGCCTGGTGTTCTAAAATTAGAAATTGTATCGTAAACAACGAAATAATATAATCAAAATATAAAAGCAGCGACTGTGCTCTATCTTATAGGCTAAACTCCTTGCGGGCATTAGTGGAAAAACGAAAATATATCTTTTAAAGGCTCGGAAAACTTCAGACACTATTGAAGCCAATTACGGATCCTTTTTATTTTTCGTACAAAGCTAATGGTTTCGATTCGATTTTGAAAAGCAGTTTGTTGGTATTGGCACTCGGCTAAGTACCCTCGAGTTCGGATTGAAAGAAAATCCATTATTTTATGAGGAAATCTCTTAAGAAAATTGCGGTATTAAGTGGGATTTCTGCGAGAAAAAGATAGCGAAAGAATTGTTAATGGAAATAATTGTTGATTAACAGCAGGGGATAATTTTAGAATTCAACAATATAATGATAATAGCAAAATACAAGAGCCCCTCGTTTTATGCGGGGATTACGTAAAGGTGTGTTCACACCGGTTGCGCCGCTCCGCGCCGTGCCGCGCAAATAATTTTTTTAACATATACTTTTGTGCGCGCTAAAAAAAATACACTTCAAAAGTACAGGTTAAAAAACCCACCTTAATAAATAAATACAGAGGGTGGTCCGAACTCCGGCCGTATTCCGGAAACTTCGGCAGCATATTCTGCAGATAAAAATAAGTAAAAAAGTTCCTATAAACGTATGTCCTAAAATGTGTCTAGTCATCTACATGTGTTTTCACTGCTGTGAATAGTCATACATTTTCGTCCGTACATATAAAAAACTACCCAGTGAAAAACTATACATTTCCGTGATTTTCTTACGTAAAAAATGTCTCTTGGTAAAAATCGCTACGAACAACCGTTCTCAAGATATTTAGCATGGAAATAGTCATTACATGTCATTATTGACAAAAAATAAATATGTTGAGTAGGTAGTTATTTAAAGGAATCTCAAGCAAAATCAGAACTTTCTAGTTTGGGATTAAATATTGGTTCGTGTACTGGTTGTACTATTAATGTTAATATTGTAAATAATAACTAGAATATGCATTAGTGTTAAGTTTGATATTTGTTATTTGTTTACTCTTGAATATTTCGAAATAAAAAATTACTTATGATTTAGTTCTTCATTTTCCACAAAATCAAAATTCCAAAATCCCATATAATTTACATGCAGTGTGTGAAATAGGCATTTCGCGCATTACTTCGCGCACCGTGTCATGGTAACATAGGAAAATGAAAAAAAGTGTCACTTCGCACATTGCTATCAATTCGCGGACCTTGTAATTTTTTGACGTTTGTAGAAAAATGACATTTATCTCTATCTGTGTGATTTCTTTATATCGCCGGCTTAAGGACGAAAAGACGTATCTCAATTTTTACTACTTTTTAGGAGAGCTAATTCTAATTATTTATTAATTTTAGTATTTGAGATAGGGCAAATGTTTAAATTAATATCAAATCAAACAGGTGTTTTTGTGGTAATATTGAGATACGCCAATGACCGTGTCATTAAACTGATATACCGAAATTGCCAAAAATCGTGATAGGCCCTTTAGTCATATAGCCGACTATGTTTTGTTCTCAAGCTGTTGATTCCTAAGCTCATCGGTCTGAATGGCGCTATACAGGGTGACATCAATTTTTCCTTATAGACTAATTAGCAAAAAAATAATGCAATATTAATAATAGTATTAGAACTACTTATTAGATCATAACATTTATATTTTGCCCAAAAAAAACACAGGTGCTAACTCGAAACAAAACTTACCTTGGCATTAATTTGGTATATGTTGTTATAACCGGGATGATCGAGATCGTGGCAAATACAGGAAGTAAGGAGTATAAGCACTTCCAAATCACCAATTTTCGATGGAAGATCTACACTGCAGGAAATTGCGTAGAGCTGAAGCAATAAAAAAAACAAAATTACTGAGTTAAAACATAATCTGCACAGAAAATCAGCAAATTAGCAATAATTTATAAGTTAATTAATACCAACATAACAATTTTTAGTATTAAATTACTGCAAAAATGCATCCACTGAATTTACTTTTTTGCTACGCATCTTTAATTGTAACATTTTCTATAGGTACATTTTTCCAGAAATAAAGAATTCACCTTATATAGGCACATATAAATTACAATTTCCCTTTTTTTTCCACCAAAGAGAAAAAGTTAATATCCCTTTATTACCTGGTCGTTATATAAAAACCGCCTTGAAAATATATACATTTTCTTCAACGATAAAAACGCTATAAAGGGAATAATAGAGACAAAAGGATGTTAAAAAATTTAGGTCAATTTTCTTCTGCGTTTCGCCGCAAAAGAAAAAAGAACGAATGCGTATAATACCAATAATATTTTTCTTTTCAATTTGCAGGGGTTTTTCTTATATAGGGTGATCCACTATAAAGAAAAATTATAATACAGATATTCTTATAAAGAATGTCTGAATATTAAACTTTTTTTATATGTATATTAAACGATTGATTCATCTTTTATTGGAGTTTATAATGTCAAAAAGTACTTTGTAAATGAGCTGTTAATTTCGTCAGGCAGTTTGAGATTTTTCTTCCAATAAAAGAGATTAAATTACATACCTAGGGTGTTTCAAAAAACATAAGCCCTGTTTTATGTAAAAATATAATATATTTTTATATCAACATGGGTCGGATTCCGCTTTCGTAGCTGCAGGGGGTTGAAGTATTTTTTTTTTCGATATATTGGATACAATTTGATTTTCAAATGTTTCTAGAGATTCGAATAAAATTTTGAGAGCAAAAGTTATTATAATTGCGACATATTTTAATGGTAAAAAGTGTCCACAAATTCACCACGGACGTGCATATGCGTTATCACTGAAGATTTTTCTAAAAAAAACATGTACGCCACTGACTTTTTATCTCTTGTTAGCAAAATCCTGTAGGTCGTTTAATGCTGATTAAGAATCTGCTCTGAATAGAATGACATATCATATGTCAACTTTTGACATTTTTGAATATGATTTATTTAAAATTGCAACATGCGTCATATCTTTGAATAAGAAGACTAAGGAAGGAGCATATCAAAAATCTTAGGTACACCGCGATGGGCCTCAAATATGGCCGACTTAAATTCCGGTTTATCAGTGTCGTCCTAATTTTATTTAAAAAATGTAAAACTATGATGTAGGGTAGACGTGGGCTAGACTCAATAATTTGTTGTTTTATTTTACGTTGTGAATAAATGTTGGTAGTTATTAAAATTGTTATAAAAATATATAATTCTAATAAAAATAGATAAGTTATAATAAGTATTTATTAACACAAACATCCGATACGCTACTGAAGCAGGTAAGTCAAATTAACGTATCTAAATTCTTTGACATCTAATCTTTGACAAGTAATAAATAAAAGCAAAAATGCAAAAAAAAATATATAATTTAGTTAATTTAAGTGAATTTCATAAATGATCGGTTTACTACACGTATGTATATTATATAGTCACTTACTAGCGAAAAGTTGTTCCATTATTTCACTCAATTTTTGCCGAGATCTACCGCACGCTACACAACCAACTATTTTAGACACTTTTTCGATAAATCGCGATAGTGTCACTGTGAATTTAAGTTCTGCCACAATTTCCATCTAGATTTACTACCTTTATACAACTATCAGTAGTAGAATAAATAATAAATAACATGAAATAAGCTCCGTAAAGACTGACAAATCCACAAAATTTCAAATCAAATTCAAATGTGTCAAATGAATCGTCAAACAGAATTGTCAAGGATCCCCACCCTAGAGAGCTTTTATGGTGGCTTTTCCGCCAACCATGCATGAATACATGGATAGCATTATGCTCCTTCCTTAGTCTTCTTATTCAAAGCGTCATATCATATCGACAATTGACTCGAAATATCAAGTGTGTAGTACCAAATTATTCGTAAAAAAATTCCAAAATTTCTTCCAAATATGCTAATGCCACTCTCGTTCTACACTCAGATGCAAAAAAACGCAACGGAGTAATTTTGGTCAAATTTTTTTAAGGTGTTACATTTTTGTTATTTTTTGCCTTATTTTCATGAATTTTTTAGCAAGTTGTAGATAATTATATCAAATTTAATTCGTAAACTCAGTTTTTTTATAAATTTTAATATTTGGCATATTATACAGCGTTAATCGAGAGGTTGTTTTTTTACCCTGACTTTAAAACACCCTGTGCGATAATTTCGTGTGTAATTTCGCAATTTTCCTAAAATATAATTTTATAGTCAGAACCATGCCTCATGAGTAGTTTGTTTTTTGGATCATGTCAATACATGCTTTGCTTAATTTTTTAGAGCGAAATGAACTTGCCACCAACAATTTGCAATTTTTACAATTAGAAGACATTGCTGCAAGAACGAGGTAAGTCCACTTTTTAGCAAAAAAGAGATTTTGCCACCATTAAATACAATTTGGCAAGCCCGATCGATTGGTCCAAGAACGATATATGTAAGTGCATACCTGATAGCCTAAACCGAGTTTTGGACTTACCTCTTCCGAAGCAGCTTGTTGCAAGACGAGGCAAGTCCGTACTTACGTCGTTTTTGCACCAAGCACTCGTTACCCGGCCACAGTGTTTTTCCTTGCGACCGCTCATTCGGAAGGTCTGAAAAATACATGCGTAGAGTACACTTTACAAGAACACATTAGGCATCTAGAGAAATCCTCCAAGACATGTGTGACGATTGAAGTGACTCAAGAGATGATTCTTAACTATGTCTCTGTTCTCGGAAGGTATTTTAAAAAAGCGGCTGTCGATAAAAATAAACAAAAATTTGCCATTTCAAAACAAAAACTATTTCAGTATGATTCTGAAACACCAGAAATTCAATGCAGCCAGTCCACTGGTATTCCAATATATTCAAATTTTGATATCCGGCAGAAGGGTACCTGCTTTCCAATCTCACTCCAATCTTAGAAAATAAAGCTTATGACGGCCACTTTACCCTAAAGAAGGTCAAGTATGACAATGACATTGGCCACCAAATATGTATCTGAAGACTGTATGCCTTACTACAGAAATTTAATAAACCCTGCATCAACGTCACAAAATGCAAATCAATAAGAAACCGATTATACCGACGCGACGACAACAGTGGATCAGAAGACTTTTGTACCTAAACCTACTATTTCATTAATCATGTTAAATAAAACATCAAAAACCATTAATTTTGATCATATTTCTTTTAACCCTGGCAGCTATGGCGCAGAAAAATATATCTGCGACTAGTTTTGGCTATTTTTTCCTATATTTGGTAGGCATTTTTCCCATTTTTGGTGCATGAACGAGGTAAGTCCAACCTAAAACTGCTAATATTTCACGTATTTCAAATCTTTTTATATTTTTTGAAGGAGTATCTCCTAATTATACCTAAAAAGAATATAATGTAAGATAAAAAACTTTCTAAAAAGAATTTTGAAAACGCTAGGAAGTTTTTTTTGATTATCTTAAAAACATAAAAAATGGACTTACCTCCGTTCTTGCTGCAATGTCTTCAAAATTATCATTTATTTTTGAAGTTATTTTTCAATGTGACAAGCCGGCTTTAGTGATTATTGCGAACTATATACTACTATGAACTGTCCATCATGTTCGACGAGTGGGAAATGCTTGGCAGGACGGTTAAAGATTGCGAAGCCGTACCAGCTTCATTAAATGAACTTCGCTTGGTTCTTAAAGAAGGATGACGTATACAGGCAGTTAAAGGAGCCAAGGGAGGCAACACAAAGTATTAGGGTATTTGTTACATTTTTTTTCTGTTTGTATACTTGAATATTACAGATGTTTTCTTTCATAGGTATCGTTAGTTCTTTTATCTTTATGAATATTTATTAAAACCAGGACAGTATCGTTAGTCTTTAACGTTTTTTTTAAATTTAGTATAGAGTATTCAATGCAGCGTAGTGTGATGTTATGAGATAATAGTCACCAAAACCATCTCGTCATATTAAAAAATTACATCCAAAGTAAGAATAATTGAAAAAAAATGCAAATTGATAGCAATCAGTTCATTTCGCTCTTAAAAAATAACCAAAGCATGTTTTGACATGAATCAAAAAACAAAATGCTCAGAAGTCATGGTTCTGACCATAAAATTATATTTTAGAAATATATACGTACGAAATTATTGCACACGGTGTTTTAAAGTTAGGGTAAAAAAAAACAACACCTTTAACCCTGTATAATATGCCAAATACTAAAGTTTATAAATAACTTAGTTAATTAACGAATTAAAGTTGATATAATTATATACAGCTTGCTAAAAATTCATGAAAATAGGGATAAAAATGACAAAAATATAAAACTTTAAAAATTTGACTAAAAATTTCTCCGTTGCGTTTTTTTGCATCTCAGTGTATTTAAAAAAATTGAGATATGATTAAAAATACGATTTACAGTGCTTTCAGATGGAGCGAAGCATCCAAGCGGAGCGTCCGTTGTGTTTTTTCAAGATAGCTGTCGGACGAAATCATCCGGACGGAGCATACGCGACTCATGTGAAGTTGTTGATATAAACTCATGGAACCTTGCTCGAAGACGCGGACGGCCCGCTCCATCTGCTAAGGATCTTTTAACCGTTAAAATTTAAATTACATCTATTTTTCCAAGTCTCCTTTATTAAAAATTAGTGTTTTTAACAAAGTAATGACACTCTAGATTGAAATTTAAAATACAATTTCTTAAGCCAAAATCTCAAAAGTTGACATATGATGTCATTCTATTCAGAGTGTCATTTTCTAACGAATAAAGTAGAAATAAATCAAGGTTGCCATTTAAAAATTAAAAGTTGTAGCAAAGGTTGTAGTCATTTCCGGTGAAAAAGGACGGGGCCGAAAAGAATTGAATACGTCAATCAATCCTAATTTATGTCTATACTAACATACCGAACCTCGTTTATTTATCTGAAAAAATAAAAAAGTTATAGGGGTGAGCCACTTTTGAAACGCACTCGGTATACGAAATGTGAGTTTAGACGGATTTCGACATTTCTTAATGGCAAATAAACCGATCTATACTCACCATTTGAGCGACGCAGAAGCAATGCCGGAAATTGTGGAAGGGTACCTCGTTATAATTCTTGTAAACTTCGTATAAAAAATTCCTAAGCGTAGCGATGTCGATGGCGAACTTGGAACAGAAGTCGTTCTCCAGGTACATCTGCTGGAGCAGGAGCAGCAGTTCTTCGTCTTCCCAGGGTCGGGCGTCGAACGTGGGCATTCGCAGCCATTGGCTGATGGCGTCTGACACTTGTGCGTCGCTGAAAAAAAAATATCATGGAAAATGTACCCTAGCACTAGGACCTTATACAGAGTGTTTAAAAAAAATGTGCTATCTCTCGTGGGAAGATTATATTATATATGTCGCAGGCGTATCGAATAACTCGACTTTCTGCAAAAATACTAGGCATATTATAAATCGCCGGCATTTTTAACAAAAGGAAGAAGTTGTATAAAGTGCCTATCTGTTTCCAGTCGCTTCGCAAAATGCCTAGTGAGAATTAGGCATATTAAAGAATGACGATATTTGATGTACAGGGTGTCCCACTAAGAATAGCTCTCGGCTGTATCTTGGAAAGTATTAGTCGTAGAGCTTGCGGACAAAAATATTTATAACTAAAGAGAGCATAAGAAATTGCTGTAAATTATTTTCAAGTTTGTAGAGCTACTGCTATTAAAAATAAGAAAAAGAAATTTTTACACAATTTTGCCTAGATAACGGATACTATAAATTATAGATTCATAATCTTCAGTAAATTTTGCATAATTTTTGTTATAACCATTTTCCCCTATCAGCCAAAATAAAGTGGTGGGGGAAGGTTAGATCTATTTTTATTTAAACATTAATAACTCCGGACTGGATGAACGGAATCTAACAAATGGGGGCTCGTTTGAAAGAGCGTTTCTTAGGGTACGAACATAGTGGACGCAGGTTTCTGCTTTCCGGCAACCAGCGCCGTCTCTGGGGACCTATTCTTGACCACTCGCATCTTCAAATATCGCTCGCATCTCGCATCTCCTAAAAAGCCATATAACAATACACAGATGCGTAATTTTGCGTACATGCATCACGTGTATTGTATATGGCTATTTCGGAGATGCGAGAAGGGTTCGGAAGTAGATAATTAAGAGGAAATTTACCTGATTAACTAACCTAACCTAACCATATTCAAACGCCGCGCCCGCCGGTCTTGGTATTTGGTCTATAAACCTGGCCAAAAGTGATATTTTTTTATTTTCATTTTTTATCTTAACTGAATACAAATCTATAAATACTAAATGTAAGCACGTTTATTAGCTTTTTTTAAGTCGTAAGTCTACTATCAAATAAATAATATATTTCAGTTATAAGTATGAATTATCTTGAGTGTATTCTGAATATTTCTAAGATTATAAAATAGTGGAATTGTTTCTAGTGCTTTTTTTGCAAATTGTTTATAATAACTGTCATGAGGGATACAGAGCCAGCTGGCAAGTCCTGTTTTATGCCATATTTTTTATTTTGAAACGTTTCCTTCTATTCTATTGCTTTATAATGTTATATATTTAAAACATCAGAGGCATTTTTATAAGGTGTAAGACTATTCGGCAATATTCCGCATGGAAATTAGTATCCGTTCAATGCTTAAAGTCTCCAGCTTTGGAATATGTACAGAAATCTTGCCAATATTTGCCACTGCCAAAAAAAAACATTGATTTAAATAGATTCTTAAAGGAAATAGTCTTTACCCTATAACACCCATCCTCGCTCAAATATCGTCTATAATATACAAATTACTTTCTTGTTCTAGCATCCTCATCCAATTGCTTGGTTTTGCACAGAATGGCCCTATTTGATCGGTGGAAAGGGTTTCAGAGTAGAGGAAAAAATATTGTGTAGGAAAAACAAAATGGGGTTCCATATTAGCCCCTCTCCTCTAATAATTAATATTACTAGCAAAAAAGCAAAAAATCATAAAACATAATTTTGGTCAACTTTTAGTTCTTAATACCCTCTGTGCGCCGCGCCGTCGGCGCGTGCAAAAGCAGAAATAAATAAATGTTCGTTCCGGTAAAAGAACGCCGATGAACGCTGGTTGACGGCGCCTACCTGCTTTCACTGTGAACTAGCCGATTTGATAACACGCTTTAATTTTCCAAGGTTATAAGCGCGAGGCGGCCGGCGCGGCGCTACTATGTACCCATATACAGGGTATCCCAGAAATACGTGCAAGTATTTTAACTTAACTGGTAGTATAGTTCAACCCCAGAAATACGCCTATGAGGTTTTTTTCTAAATAATTTTTTTTGGAAAATTCGGAACTTTTTGAAAATTTTTTGCAATTTTTTTTAGTTTTTATTTAAAAAAAATAATTTCTTGATAATATGGCAACATAGGTAGTAGATTAAATTAACAAGAAAGAAACTCCAGAAAAGATCCAGTGGTTCTCAAACAAATCTCGAAGTATTGGAAAGAATGTGTAAGGACCAAGAACTATTGACTACAATAAAACGACGGAAAGCAGAATATTTTGGTCATATTTTTCGAAATAACAAATATAGTTTCCTACAGCTGATCGTTGAGGGAAAGGTTGAAGGACCACGGGGCATCGGGCGTAAACGGTTTTCCTGGTTGCGGAATTTGCGCCAGTGATATAGGAGAAGACAGTACAATTATCCGGTTGGCTCAACACAGGGAGGAATTCCAATTGATGGTCGCCAACCTCCGATGAGGAGAAGGCACATGAAGAAGAAGGTTCTCAAAATTTTAGCAAAAAATCGGTTTTTTTTTAAATTTTCAAAGTAAAATAACTTCGTTATTTTGGACTTATTTGAAAAACGATAAAGAGAAAATATGTTTCTTTTATTGAGATCTACCACCCTTTAAAATACTTGCACTTATTTCTGGGATACCCTGTTTATAACAATACACGTGATGCGTATACGCAAAGTTGCGAACGATGTCAAGAATAGGTACCCAGATTGGCGCCGACTACCAGTAAGCGGTAAACCTGCTTGCACTGTGTTCGCAGACTTACTCTATATTATAGCGTATAAACAATAATAATAAGCTGTTCAATGTAGACGCTAGGGGGCGCTGTCTTACAATTTAACAAACATTGCGCGTTTTTTCAAAAAAATTAAATGCAACAGTATATATAATTTTAACTGATAGTAAAGAGTAAAAAAAGTTTAAAAAGTCAGCGAAAACCGCATCTTGATATCCTCTTTCAAACCGAAGATATTAGCAAAAATATTATAAATACGAAAATATTAAGCCCTTAATTACCTTATTTTTTTAGTACGGTTACAGTAGTAGTAAGAAAAAATAAGATAGAAACGATTAGTTTTATTCTAAAATCGACAATATACCAGAATACAATAATACCAGATATATTAATATATCAATGACAGTGAATAATTAATATATCAATGACAGTGAATAAGAAACGACGCCTCAGTGAAGTCATGGTAGACTTTGGAAAAAAGATGCTTATGACGTAATAGTATAAACGTCAAAGAGTTATTAAATCAATATTTTGATACTCTTAGCAGCGTTTTTTCTCTTTTGAAGAAAGACATTTTTAGAAAAGCAATCAAAAGATAAAAAATGCTGCTGAGACTATTAAATTGTTGATATAATGATATTTTGAGTTTAAACTATCTCTTTAAAAGCAACTTTTTTCCAAAGCCCACCATGAATTCACTGAGGCGTCGCGTCGTTTCTTAGTAACTTTCATTGATATCTTAATTATTAGATATTAACATACCTAGCTTTATGGTATTCTGGTACATTGTCGATTTTTTGAATGAAAAAATCTTTTCTATCTTATTTTTTATTAGAATGGTCATAATCAAGAGAGCTAGGGATACCGTGTTAGAAAAATAAGGTAATTAAGGGCTTATTTTTTTGTATTTATTATAATTTTGCTAATAACTTTGGTTTGAAAAAAGATATCAAGATGGGGTTTTCGCTGAATTTTTAAACTTTTATTACTATTTAGTATCAGCTAAAATTACATATACTATCGCATTTAACTTTTTCGAAAAAACGCGTAATATTTGTTAAATTGTAAGACAGCGCTCCCTAGCCTTGTATTCTCGATTCTCGTGATCACGACATGCCACACGGTGTTACTCTTGTGCGTGGATGAACGTGGCGAGTAATCCTCGAGGATCGAAAAAAATCCTCGTACCAAGGATTTGAATACTCGCGTGACCGAGTATTTTTCTTCTTAAGTATTATTCTTTCTCAAGAAGGAGCATTCATTTTGGGGGTGCACGTATTAACCTAACCGCCTTACTCTATTGCATAAACAATCGTGAAAACTTTATCAAAATAAAAAAAAATCGGCACGCAGTATAGACATATTTATCAAACTATCTATATTTCTATACAGATATCGAAAATTACTTTATCCAAATAAAAAAAATCGGCACCCAGTACAGACATATTTATCAAACTATCTGTATTTCTCTATAGATATCGAAAATTACACGTTTAATCGCTCGAAACATTCTTTTTCGCTCCAGCCAATCGGTCGTTATTGGCCCGGCGAATAAAAACATTCCTTCCAATCCGTTCGGGAGCCATTGCCCGTAAACAAAACCACTCCACTCGATTGCCCGAACAAATTGAAAATGACGAAGATAAATTGACTTGTTCCTAGTCGAGCGTTTCATCATTACTTTGAAATTTTTCATTCGGTCCGATCGGATTGCTCGATCGGGTCTCAATATATTTACCTTTAGAAAACAGGGACTAAATAGAAAGTTCAAAATTGTTTAAGCCTGACTTATTTCTAGTAGTAAATGTAAAGTATTGAATGCTAACGTCTTCTTTTTATCGTCAGAGTTAATGTGAAGGGAGCATTTCAATCATATTCGTGCTATACCCTATTGGCAACGCCCGGCTTTGGGTCCTGATTCCCGTACGCTTGAAGAGTACAATGCCTTTATAATGTACTGAACAAAGAGAGAAAAGTAAGAATGTTGCCAAACGTATGAAATAAACCGAGAAACTCTGCATATTGCTAAGAGACGTGGGAGGGGATATCGTCGGTGAAATGTGGTAAACTCCATTATTCCTAATTTTACAGGAAAGCAAAAAAGACGGTACAAAAAATATGTACACATGTAGGAAGTATATTCATGCGTTAATATGGTAAAGCAATAAGATTATTATTTGTTAAGAAACAATAAAACTCAACATTTCGTGTTGTTTTATTTTTTTCAGACAAAATAGAGAGATAGCAGATATTCGTCTTCTAGAAATAAGAAA